CTTAAATGTATGAAAACAGCTAGATATAAATACCACTGTGGACGGACAAAAGCTCACCTACGCTTCCACCATCACATTGTCTAAGAAGACATTCTGCCCTTTGTTTAACATCTAATGGCAGACTGTCATCCTCCAAAAGTTCTGGATAGAAGCAAGCAGCAAGGACCTGAAAAATAGCACACAGAAAAACTGAGCATCTTATTTCTCATATAGGCATTGGGTTAAGTACACTCTAAAAAATGCTGGGTTGTTTCAACCCAATTTTGGGTAAAATATGGACAAACCCAAACGTTGGGTTAAAAATGTAATTAAAAAAATTAACCCAATGGCTGGGTATGTCCATATTTTACCCCAAATTAGGTTGAAACAACCCAGCATTTTTTAGAGTGTAATAATATTTTTCCCAACATGTTTTTTTTCTGTTTTTTTTCAGTGACAGGTGGAAAGCTGCTACCTACTTGACGAACAAAGCTGATGGGTTTCGTTCCCCCTCTATGGAGATCTCCAGAGGACAAATCAAGCACCTCGTTATAGTTTTTTCTCTTACCCTAAAATCAAATTAAAAAATATATATATTGTGTCATAAAAGGCTCTGTGTAACCATAAAAATGGGATCCAGGATAGAAGTCAGTTCAGTAAATCAGTTAAAACTGGTTTTAATTCAGGATCCAAATTTTTAATCGATTATTAAGCTCCAATATGATACAAAAAACTGTCAAAGACGTCAAACACTAAAAAGTTTTTTTCTCTCAAACAACCTTTCCATGTAGTCATCTGCCTAATTTCTACTTCACATCAGATACATTTGCACCAAAATATGATATTAAAGGTCTAAGGGGTTGTAAGTCCGTGATATTTTAGGCTTCTGGAAGGGTCAATTTTCATTCAAGAGACATTTTTTTCTAGATGATATATCACAACAAATACCAAAAACTGAAGTTCATTTTTTTATTACATAAATAGAGTAAACCATAATGAATAAGGGATTTTACAACAAATATTGATTCCTCAAAAGCTTTAGAACAACTGTAAAAAAACTGGGTGAAAATTAAAGAAACAAAATAACTTTTTACTGTGACTGTAGTCACCATACGTTTTAGAATATTCCATTCAAAATGAAAATGTATGTTCCCTTTATATTTTCTTATTATATCTGTGTCAATTTACCAAACACATCCAAAAACAACCTCTAGATCACACTGTGCACATTTGCACATCAGTCGTTTGGCCATGCTGATTTTCTTTAAAAAGAATCCAAGTTTGAACTCTGTACAATCTGACCTGTACAAATACGTGTCTCTTCAAAGCAATCCAAATGTGTTGTGTCCAAAGACCGTACATAAAATGTTGTGTCTAGGAAGACGCTTGGGATTTATTCCAAACCTCCCCTTTTTACGTTCATAAGACACCAGACAACATCAGGTGTTTTATATTGGTCTGTGATGGTTCACACTTCACACACACCAACAGATTTATATATCATTAGTTAGGGTGACCAACAGTCCTGTTTTGACGTCCTGTCCTGGCTGTTTTTTTATAAAGTGATGAAAATGTCCTGTTTTTCAAAAAAACTGCTGGGAAAGATAAGCTCTACAGCTAAATATAGATGGTCAAACAGGATAAAGAGGAAGAAATATATTTTGTTTATATTAGTTTGTATTTGTTTAATTTGGAGGTATTTCTTACATTTGTTATATATTTATTTTTCTAATACAGAAGATACATTATTTCTACCATTATTTCATTCATTATTGAGTAACCTCTGAGAAGCCTATCTGAATTTGTGTCTTGTAATATAACAATTTTCTATCCATACAGAGGAGGCATAGCCTGCTTTAAATGTATTGAAATTAATAAGGCATCTTTGAGTAAACTTCGAGTATCATTTGAGGATCTGTTTGCCGGGCCGAGTGTCCTGGTTTTTGGTAATCAAAATATGGTCACCCTACACTGTTTTACGTTAAAATGCTATAGATTTGCACTCACATGCAGAAGGCTATCATTCACGGAGGTCAACTCATTATTACGCAGACAAATTTCAGCTTTTCATAGAAAAAAAGTAAGTTAATAGACTACGTTAATCCATGCTGAAGCTATTAATTGATATATCAGGGGTGCTTCGAAGAATAGAAGATGAGAGTATTGTCAAAGTAGTACCACACCTGTTGAATTTCAGCCTCAATCTGTGCCGCACATATGGATAAAACATCCTTCTCTGAGAGAAACGTGTTCTTCAACAATGGGCTGATTTTTTTCAGGAAAGACATTGTTGTTTCCCAGTCTGAAGATTTTCTTTGTCGCCTGAACAACTTGGTTAGAAACTCCCTTCTTTTGATGGCTTTTATCACTGGACCAGTGAGTCAAATGTTCAAAACCACTCCTTACCAAGATTTCAGTTATTAAACCCAAATCTTTCATCCTATGGGGATTTTGCTTATACATAGGAGCAAAGTTCCCATGGGTCGGGCTTCTTGAGACATTAACAAAGACACCTGATGAATATTCACTGCTTAACTTCTCTCTACAGGAGGAATGTGAATCATCTACAGTATTCAACTCAAATCATGTCATGTTGCATTTTTTTCATGATTTTGGCTTTATCATTTTGATACTTGTGTATCACTATCTATTCAAATTATAAATAAAATAAAAATTATGCATCAGCCCCATTTTCCATACAACTAAAATGAATGAAACTAAAACCACGTTTCTACTTCTAAAATTCTTCAAACATTTACAGAAAGTTCAACAATTGAGATGCAGTGATGAGAGAGTTAGTTACCACGCTATTAAACATTTTAGGAAAGGAAAAAAAAAAGTAAATATGCAGCACAAGACGACTACTTTCCATCACTGAACAGTGAAATATTGCACAAGACTAAAGATTTAAAACCATTATGTTTATTCACAGCAACGTCATGGTGAAATGCAGGTAGACTTTCTTTTGGAAAGAATTTATAACAATCATTTACAATACACATATAATCAATGCAATTACAATTCAAATCAACCCAATTCAAAACAATAGACTTTTCATTAAATAATATGCTATGTATAAAAATAAAATAAATGCACTTAACAATCCTGTCTGAATGTAGTTCACTTGTTCCAAAGAGTAACAAACTCTTTCATGACAATTCCCAGTCAGTTAGTTTAAATTTACATAACATGCATTTATGAAAGTTTTATTCAGCTGATAAAACGGGTTCTTTTTTTCTCTGTTTACTGGCCTCGTCACATAATGACAAAGTCACATTTAAAACTTAAGCCCCTAAAATAGAGCTTGGCGAACATAAATGATAAACCGACATTTGTCCAGTTCCAGCACAGCAGTGGAACAGACTTGAACACTGACTTGCACGCCGTGTGGTAGAGCTGCACGGTTAACGCTTGCAATGTGAAACTGTTGAAACCGGAACCTTTAGGGACTTTGATAAACCTTTCAACACTGAAATCTGTGTTTGCGCTGCCGCTGATCCGGAGAGAACAGCTGCCATGTAAATTAATGTACAGTATGAAGCCACTTCACAAACACTCTTTTCAACTGGGGGGACAATAACTGGGGGGCAAAGTGTACTGGGATAAGTTTATAGTTTGGGTATAAACACTGATGTCTTGTATGGTAGAGATAAAAATAGGAGTAAATCATATTTTGACTCTTGTATGTATTGAATTGATAATCATAAGTGAGTGTTTAAAGGGATAGTTCACTTTGAAATTAATTTTTGATATGTTTTATCTTACCTCAAGGGCATCAAAGATGTAGGTGTCTTTGTTTACTCAGTATTTTCAATTTTGATATTTTTAGGTCAAACCGTTGTTGTCTGTCAGTCATATAATGCAGGTCTATGGTCACCACCCTTAAAGAAAGAGCATGCATAGAGTTCAAATTAAACATGATTTAATGACTCGTAAATGTAAGTACACACTGATGGCCTAAGACACGAAACAAGCGGTTATATCAATGCAATGAGCGTAGACAGAAGTGTCCGTGCCTTCAGATCACTTGGACGTCACGTGACTGATTACAAGAGGTAAAACCGATATAAATATTGTTCATTTTCTCACACAAACCGCTTGTTTCGTGTCTTAGGCCATCAACGTGTACTTACATGTACGAGTCATTAAATCATGTTTAATCTGGACTTCTCTGTGCATGCTCTTTGAGGTGGTGACCATAGACCTCCATTATATGACTGACAGACAAGAACGGTTTGACCTAAAAATATCAAAATTGAAAATACTGTGGAAACAAAGACACCTGCATCTTTGATGCCCTTGAGGGAAGCTAAAACATACCGAAAATTAATTTCAAAGTGAACTATCCCTATAAAAAAGTGTTTGTCACTGAATCAAAATATTTATTCACAAATGCTGATTTATCCAGTTCTAAAGTTTTTATAAATGAGACATTTGACTATTTTTTTTTTAATTATTTCATTCAAATTACAATGCACAGCAAATGAGTTTGTGATTTAAGAGCAAAAGAAGCAGAGTAGCATCTGGGTAAAATGCAATCCCGACTCGTGCATAATCTCCTTTCCAGCAAGGACATTAAAAATAAAGCTTGAAATGCTGTATGTTTTAATCATTACTGAATTTTACACTGAAGTTTTACCAGGGTTGTTTTTTTTTAAACTTTAGATTACATCAAAGATTACAAGAACTTGTGTGCTATTGTCCAAAATAGACTGAGTTTGTACCATCAAGTGGCACGGATGACAAAGCTTCCGTTTTCCGTTTCAAACTGAAATAACCTCTGATGCCTATCCACTTATACTGTTCAACAGTATTCAATTCAGAGAAACCAAGTAACAAATCAATTGGGCAGTTACTAGTTACTGACCACTGCACTGTGACACAACCAGGAAAACCAAAACATTCCCCATTACATAACCACAATGGGAGTTTGAGGCTTTGATGCAAGTCAACTCTTAATAAAACTACAAGTGGAGGACTAGCATGTCAAGAGCAAAAGCTGGAGTTTTTGGTCATTCAAAAGTGTTTTAGTCTTGGTACCTGTGTGTATTTACAACACAGTATCACTGGTTAGATCTTCTTGCTTTTTCCTGTAATAGAGAAAAACAAACACACATTAGCCTGCACAGTCAATGTTGTGAGCATGTGTATTTGCTGGGGGAATCACCTGTTGAACGCTACTGATATTGGGAGGGTTTGGCCGATCTGTGCTGCAGATTTCACAGCCGGGTCGCGTAGACTTATTTATGAATGTACAGGAAGGGCAGGACCAGCCTGGCTAAAGAGAGAGAGAAATATGAAAATACAACTGTTCATTATTTATATCCAAATATTTGCATTTGTTATGTAAATGAAGCTGGAAGACTGATCCACATCAAACAGGGGCAATGACGTTTTTCATGGAATCATTTCCATTTGTGATCTCTTTCTTTGATCTTTGAAGGTTTTATAACATTTTAAGCTGCCCTTGCTACAACGGAAATGTTTGTGCGAGTGTGTTTTCATGGTTCATCATTATGTGGACGCAGGCCACTTATTTACAGTCTGGCTGCATTCTTTAGTTTCAAGAAATGGTAAATGTGAATGCATGTAATTATTACCTGTGTGTTACTTGATTTCAGTTTGGAGCGTCCAAGTTGCAACATCTCAAGGTTAATGATGTCACTGACGCTATGTTTCTCTGGGCCACACCCACTGCTGCCTATTCAACAATGAGAAAAACACACTGATGCAAGCAGTGATAATGTAAAAGATCCCTGAAACCTATATACTACTGTTCAGAAGATTGGAGTTAGAAAGAAATTACTACATTTAATTGTTGGAAAGTGAAATTAAAGTATGTATATTCTTACAAAAGATTTCTTTTTCAAATAATTGCTTCTCTTTTGAACTTTCTATTCATCAAAGGAAAAAGAGCATCATGGTTTCCACAAAAATATGAAGCAGCACAACAGTTTAACACTGATAATAAGAAGAGATTGAGAAAACATTGTTGCTGCCAGATGGGCTGGTCTGAGTGTTTCAGAAACTGCTGATCTACTGGGATTTTCATGCACAACCATCTCTGGAGTTTACAGAGAACGGTCTGAAAAAGAGAAAATGTTCATTGAGCGGCAGTTATGTGGGAGAAAATGCCAAAGGTCAGAGGATGACCAGACTGGTTTAGCTGACTGAAAGGCAACAGTAACTCAATTAACCACTCGTTACAACCGAGGACTGCAGAAGAGCATCTCTGAACACACACCCTGTCACACCGTGAGAAGAGCTACAGCAGCAGAAGACACACCTGTGCCGTCAGCTGAGAATAGAAACTGAGGCTAAAATTCACATGGGCTCACGAAAATCAAACAATAGAAGATTGTAAAAATGTTGCCTGGTCAGATGAGTCTTGATTTCTGCTGCAACATTCAGACAAAAGCATGGATCCATCCTGACTTGTCATCGGTTCACAGTCAAAAAAGCAGTTCCTGGTCACCAGATCTCAATCCGCTAGAGCAGATTTGGGATGTGCTGGACGGGAGATTCACATCATAGATGTTCAGCCGATAAATCTTCAGAAGCTGAAGATTGTGATTCTCTCATTATGGACCAAAATCTCTGAGTAATGTTTCCAACAGCTTGTTGAATCTGTGCCAAAGAATCAAGTCAGTTCTGAAGGCAAAGTAGGTCCAAGCCAGGTCTACATAATAAGTGACTGGAGAGTGTGAATTATATCTAACAATTTATCCAAATTTAAAACAGTTATTTTATATTGTAATCTGTCACAATATTACTCTTTTTACTGGACTCCAAGTTAGGGCTGGGCGATATATCGCACGATATTGTTATGCGCATCTAATCAGTAAAGCCGGTTCCTTGATTAGCAGTAAATCACCTTCACATGCTTTCAAATGGACTATATGAGTGTTAAAGTTAATGAGATAATTAAGTGATTAATTTAGTGATGATTGAGCATTATTGAAGACACCTGATGATCACAAGCAGAATCACTGAAGGACAAAATCACAAATTGTAAGCCACCGTTATGGAGATCAGTGTCTGCTTTAGTTGGGCTCTTGACCCTTATACGTTCACTTTAAATTTTGTGTGTCTGCTTTATTATTGATTAATAGCAGTCAAATAAGACATCTTTGATCTTATAGTGTTGGTTATGTTTTGACATAATCATGCTGTGATCTGTAAAATGAAACTTTTCAGATGATTTGGCTTAACTTGTTAGCAAGATTTTAGTGATTGTACTGCATATCTGTATTTTTCTTTTAACATAAATTAATGAATAAATATTATTCTGATCAAATCACTTTCATGCTTATTTAGAAACACAGATATCAATAATCGGCCTGTCTATCTCAACTGTGGTGGCGAAATTAATCCTTGTTGCCACCAATCACAACTCATTAATGGCTCCCATCTTGCATTGCGGTTTGAATAAATTATGATCTGAATTGTCGATGTAATTTACTTTTCCTACTTGAATATTCTACTCGTCACCGTTGTTGAGAAGCATTGACTGAATCTTGAGGTCTGTCTGTGCCTAAAGGAAGGTTTTTTTTCTTTTAAGCAACTTTTGAGAAAACTGTCTATTATATTTAACATTCTGGACATTTATTCAGAATCTAAGTCATACACTAAGCAACAGAATAAATTATATGTTATAAATTTTATAAATAAACTTTATTATAAATTTTATATATATATATAATTACATAAATTTCAAATGATAAATGTCATTATATGACCAAAATCATTTTATTATTGTTTATTTTTGTTCATCTGATAGATATAACTCAGATGCAACAGCAAATTAAAATATAAAGTTAATAATATAAGGGTCAAGAGCCCAACTAAAGCAAACACTCATCTCCATAACGGTGGCTTAAAATTTTAGATCTTTTCCTTGTGATTCTGCTTTAGGTGTCTTCAATAATGCTCAATCATCACTCATTTAATCACTTAATTATCTCATTAACTTTAACACTCTTGAGTGTGGACTCATATACACTCCCAGGTGTGTTAAACACGGGAGATTTCGTCGTGACGAAGAGCCGTAGTTCACTGACCAGCTGAGCCATATCGCATTAAATATCGATATCGATATGTCCTCGATATTAACGCGATTTGGCTCAGCTTGTCAGTGATCTACGGCTCTTTGTAGTGAATGCCGCTCCATCTGAAAGCATGTGAAGGTGATTTACTGCTAATCAAGGAACCGGCTTTACTGATTAGATGCGCATTCAATATCGTTCGATATATCGCCCAGCCCTACTCCAAGTCTAATTTCAAGTGCCAGTTATTTCTACAGATGGAGGTGCCAGCCCCCCTGATATGGTAGCACTGGGGGGATTTTTAATCACAAAGTTAATTTAATCATCAAATTACTATTGTTTTGCATTAGTAAGCGCAACTACTAACAATATTACATGTTTGTTTATTGGAAATGTGACAGTAAAGCACTGAGCTTGATTTGAGATACAGATAAAAAACTTCTATTAACAACGGTAAATAACACATTTTTGTAGGGAAAATTGAAATATTCATACTAAACCTAAAGAAGTGCTCTTTGCTTGCTTTTTGTGTAATTCAGTCACAATTTGAAGAATTTTTTTTTTCTTTCATGAGACTTTCATGTGCTTTCTTACTTTCCCAAATATAAGGGAGGGGAAATGGCCAATAAGTGCTCCTCTGCCGATAATTTACTGGTTATAGAGGTAATTTCAAATATATATAAAAAATAAAAATAATAAATAGTGTTTCACAATGTTTCTCCTGGTTCCATGTCAGCACTCCCAGGACTGTATAGTAAAGGTGTCGCGCGATCGAGATCATTTGATGTTTCTTATGCAATAGAAGAAAAAATTAAGAAAAAAAATCCATCACACAATCCATTCCTTAACGTGGGGTGGTGGTTTGCATGTTTCTATGACACTGAGAGCTATGCCAGCGGGAGTGTAAACTCCTGGTAGGGCTTCCCAGGCTGGACAGGTCGAAGGGTAGATTCCAGACTAATATGGGCCACCTCTCCCAGAGGCCGAGGGGTTTGCTTAGTGCCAACAACCCTAACTGTAAAAACAAAGTGTTACAGAAACAATTGATGACAATTCAAGGAGGACATGACTTGAGAGAGGAGGGGCCTTTATTACGGAGGACTATGACGCATTGCGGTGAAAGCCGGTAGGAAGCTGCAAGGCCGACCCCCCTTCTGACGCCCAAGAGGATTGCCAAGATTGCCATCTGGAACATCCGCAACTTGTACGAGACTGGGAAAGCAGTGTAGGTGGCAAGGGAGATGGAGAGGTACAACATACATAGCGCTGCTGGGACTGTGCGAGACCCGGTGGGTACAGTCCGATCAGCTGAGGCTGACAACTGGAGAGATGGTACTGTCCTCTGGACACGAGTAGGACGAGCTCCATGTGGTGTAGTGTTATCCTCCTACCAACGACGCAGAGGAAGAGAAAGATGAGGGGTTTTTTTAGGCAGCTGCAGAATGTTTTGAACAAACACAGCAGCAGGGATGTTAACATCTTAACAGGTGATTTTAATACCAAGATAGGAGCAGACAATACAGGCTACGAGGAGGTGATTGGAACCCAGGGACTGGTACAAATGAACAAGAACGGGGAACTGTTTGCTGACCTCTGTGTCCTCAATAGCCTTGTCATCGGAGTCTTCCCACACAAGGCCATGTGGAGATCTCCTGGCCACACCACAGAGAACTAGATAGACCATGTATGCATCAGCCAGAAGTTCCGGCAATCGCTTGAAGACGCGCGGGTGAAGAGAGTAGCAGACGTAGCCAAGCTCCATATGACAATCAAGCTCCATATGAAACAAAACACTCAGCCGGCCAGTACCTGCACACGTTACAACGTGGACTTTTTGTGGGACAAAGGTACCCAGGACCAATTGCCATCTCGAACAGGTTCCAGGTGCACCAGGAACTGTATGAGGTTTCTGACACGGACATTGAGACTATCTGGCAGCATGCAAAGTGACTGTGGGCTGACACTTGAGAAGAGACCCTGGGCAAGAAGAAGACACAGGACAAGGACTGGATGAGGAAGGTGACTTTGAAGAAGATTGAGGAGAGGAAAACGAAGAAAGCAGCGCTCAATAACAGCTGGAAGAGAGCTGCAAATGCAGAGGCACAAAGACAGTACACATGTGCCTACAGGGATACAGTGGACCACTTAGACACACCTGGACTTTGCTGATGACCAAGCACTTCTTTCCCAGAGACATGCCCAGATGCAGAAGAAGACAGAATCTCCGCAAAGGTGGGCCTTAAGATCAGCAGGAAGAAGACATGTGATGAACATCAACACAGCAAACAACAGTCATGTCATGCTAGATTTGCAACTTCTTGAAGAAGTGAGTTCCTTTGTCTACCTTGGGAGTGTAGTGGACAAACAGGGTAGCACAGACAGTGATGTGGTCGCCAGCGTGGGCAAAGCAAGTGCGGTGTTCATCACACTCAAAAACATCTGGGCCTCCAAAGAGATGGGAGAAGCAACCAAAATGAGGATTTTCAACTGTTCTCCTACATGGGTCAGATGGAGAATGACCAAGCGCACACAGCAGAAGATCCAGACTTTCACCAATGGATGCCTAATGCTACGTTCACACCGGACGCGAATCGCGCGTCAAATTCGCGCCTGACGCGTCTAGTTTGACGCTTGACCACTAGTGTTAATTCGCGTGTCAAGAGCGAAACTGGCGCGCGTAAAGTTTGAAGCGAAATTTACGCGCGTGACGCGCGTCAGAATCAAAATCCGTTGGCGGCCATTGTTTTTATGTCGACCGAGCATTCATCAAGAGAGTTACCGCTCTGTATTTACTCTGGAGAGCAGAACAGCGGTGTGGGGATCATCGTCGCCGTATATTTGTGTCCACCGGACCCTTCGGAGGCTCGGAGCCGAACCGTTTGGCGAGTTTCACCATTTGCTCGCTCCAGGAGCTGCGCTGGATGACGGCTTCTGTCAGCGGTACTTCCGCCTGTCACGCGCCCAGTTTGATGACCTGTTGTCCCGCATCTGAGCGAGGATCACCCTCGCCCTCATTCATCTAATCTAGCTGTCATTTATTTTTGTTTTGATGATAAATAGAGCCAGCCTTCAAAAGTTATTAACCTGTCCTGCGATTTTTTTCTCTCTCTCACGTCCAGACACGAATTTATGCACATATGTTGATTGTCTTTACAACATAATACTATTTCTAGATATGGAATAAATAATACAAAATGAACATGTCTCGTATATAGAAATAATGTTTTAAGTGATGAAACATTTGCTTTGTTGTGCATAATCCCACCATGCATTTAGTCATATTAACAAAATAATTTATTGAAGCATCCAGACACTTCCCCACGTGAGCAAGCAGCTAGGCTCCTGATTGGTTAACGCGGCGCGAATTCACGCCAAAGTTCAGATTTTTCAACTCGGGCGGCAGACGCGAATTCGCGTCAAACGCGTGAATGCACAACGCTCAATTCGCGGCATTCGCGCCAACTTGACGCGCGAATGAGGCGTATTCGCGTCTTCCGCGCCGCGCTCCACGCCTCATTCGCGCCGCAGGAATTTTTCACGCGCGTAAAGCGTCTTTGCATTGACTTAACATTGAAATCATTCGCGCCTGACGCCCTATTCGCGTCCGGTGTGAACGTAGCATAAGGCACATATTCAAGATCTAGTGGCCTGACCGTAGCAACAATGAGGAGCTCTGGCAAAGAGCAATAAAGAAGCCATTATCCAGCAGATAGGGAGGAGAAAGTGGGGCTGGACTGGACGCACATTACTCAAACAAACGAGTAATGTGACAAGGCAGTATCCAACTTGAAACCCTCAAGGAAGACGAAAGAGGGGGCGGCCCAAGAACGAGTCACTGAGACAGAGCTAAAGAAGAGTGGTATCACTTGGACTCAAATAGAAAAGGCAGCCCAAGACCATGCCCGCTGGAGAATTGTTGTCGATGGCCTATGCTCCAGAGGGAGCGATGGGCCTAAGTAAGTAAGTATGCAATAATATGGCAGCACTTATCAGTTGGGCAATGTGGTGATGGCACCAGTGCGACCTCTAACAAAATTTAATAATAAAAAATAAATAATTCATTACATATATATAGCGCTTTTCTCAGCACTCAAAGCGCTTTACATAGAGGGGGGAACCAATGTGCAGCATCCACCTGGATGATGTGACGGCAGGCATAGTGCGCCAGAACGCCCACCACACACCAGCTTACTGTTGGAGAGGAGACAGAGTTATGAAGCCAATGAGTATATGGGGATGATTAGGCGGCCATGATGGACGGAGGCCACTGGGCAAATTTGGCCAGTATGCCGGGGTTACACCACTACTCTTTCGAAAGACATCCTGGGATTTTTTGTGACCACATAGAGTCAAGACCTCGGTTTAACGTCTCATCCGAAAGACGGAAAATTTATTTGCGCCGGCAGGAAAAAAGGCCGCAGTCTGGAGCCCCTGGAAGTCCTGGTTAGCATAAGAGAACAATAAATAAAAATAAAAAAAAAACAAATCTTACCAACCCCAAAGGTTTGTACGGTAGTATAAAAAGAAGCCTGTCCTTTTGTGTCCAGTCTGACCATCGCTGATGTAAGACATGCAAACCATCTACTTAAGATGATCCTCAACTGATTTTCACTACAAATAAAAGGATTTTTTTTCCTCCTACACTCCATGTGACACTTGGAATTTTCCTCACACCAAGCATATGATTCTGCTAAACACACATGTGTGTGAAGTGCGCTCACCTGTGCTGCTGTGGCTGAAGCGGGGCGGTAACGTGCTGTAGCCTCTCCAGTCTTGACTGATGGCCGGCGTGTGGGCCAGCGCGGCGTTTAGTGGTGGCGCTACAGTCGGCATCGGGAGGCCGTTCTCCTGGTCCTGCTGGTGATCGAGGCAGGCGTGACGGGCAGACAAGAGGTATAGAAATGCTGTGTCACCGTCCCTGTAGATGCCGTACGACGCTAAAGAACGGTCATCGGAGCACAGACACTGAGCGATCACCCAGCGCTGCACCCTGGGGTAAAAACCATACTCAGCAAACATCTGGAAGAGACACGATCGAAAATAATTAGAAAATCCCCTGACAATTCGGCAAATCAGAGATACTTGAGAAAGATTTGTCAAGATATATTTTGTTCTTTCCTACCTGCTGCTTCAGAGAAGCGACAGTCACCTGCGGGTGGACTTTTACTGTGACACAACAGGAAGATGATGCATCTTCTACGACCACAGCTAAGCTGAAAATAAAAGCATATCCATGAACCTTATATGTCACCATCAGGATTTTAAGATATAAATTACAAATGTATCTATATGTACAGTATGTTGATTTGTGCAGTTTTGCTACTAAACTTCAAGCTATTAAACTTTTTTATATAATTAATTACGCAATGTGATGATCAATTCATCGAATCAAATTTGGCTGAGAAATTACCCCCAAAAGATCATTTAAAGTCATTATTGTGTTAAATTAGAAAAGCATCAAATAGACATAACAAAACTTGAAAGTTTTTTTTTTTTTATTCAACATAGAATTTATTACACAAACTTTTAGGTGAGTTCATTTTTGATATAAGCATACTCTAAAAAATAAACTAAATCTGCCAGATGGTTTTGGTAAATGTCTGAATAAGCAAGTCATTGAGTCATTCATTTATTAGATGAATTCAAACGGCTAATTCATTCAGGAATTAAGTAAATGTTACGAGCGCAGTCATTCTGCTATGGCTTTAAAGGTAATAAAAACAGAAAATATTTTATCTAAAATACAACACAATATTAGCTACTTTTGTTGTATAAAATCAGCATTAAATCTGCACTCATGCTATTCGGGACAAAAGCAGCACTTTTGTGATATTGTGCTTGTTACTCATGAGATCTTGCTTAACTACATCATATGATATAGATATGAGACAAACTGAGAAAGGGGCATTTATAATATCTTGCATTTTAGTGTCATTCTTACTTCATACTATAGGCTCGAACATTCAGTGAGCTGTTGCCCTGCTTAATGCTTGTCACCAATCGACTTTATAAAATTTTAGATGAACTAGGTCTAAGGGTGGAGCTGGTGCCTTAATAATATTTTAAGAATCTAAAAGCATTATTTTCCCCCATAATTAATTAATTCAAGTTAACACACACACACACACACCTTATCTCTCTGTCCTCAGCGTCCCGCAGCGCTGGTTGAATAGTCAGTGCGATCTGCTGCCGGGCCAGATCCGAGGCGTAGTGCACAGCTGCGTGAGTGTCTCCGGTCTCTATTGCTCGAGCAAGCTCTATACACAGCTCCTCTACGGCAGGCAGAAGAGAAACACAGTGACACTTGAACACCATTAAATGTGAGCAAAACGATTGCTATTCGAAATATTGACTGATGTCAATACTGATTATCTGTAGATTTATGTGTCCATGCAGAACCAATATTTAATTTTTCACTTCTGTTTTTGTAGATTTTTATCTTCATATCATGATTAAAAAAACACGTTAAAAGCGTGTTTTTACAACAACAGAAGCAGCAAAAATATAGGCAAAATAAACGTAGTCTAATGTTTTCAAGTGGGAAACAATCAAAATAAATGAAAAAGGGGTCTATCAATTCTGCATAAATATAATAATTCATCTTAAACTACCATGAAGATGTGGTTTACAGGGATTTTGGGAAAGCTAGGGGACGCTGTTAGGCACATTAAAAACATTTATAATTAAAATAATTACAATTATTTTATTGTTTTAAATGATTGAAAAGGTAAATAAAAACCAAACAGGTTTTAAAACCACTAACCTACTTATTCAGGGTTTCTGAAGGTAGATTTAAGATGGATTATTTAAAGACCTTTTCAAGACCAAGTAAAGAAAATGGAAGGAATAAAGTGAAGGGAACACAATATATAAATGTCCAGGGAGAAACACAATGAGTTGTATTAGAAACACGTTAACATTTCAAAATACAACTTCCGACTGATCACCATAACTTTTAATTCATAAAAAAAAAAAAATTATCTTCAAGGCTTGAATACATCTGCTCTGAACCACTAGAATATCGGCATAACTTTTACTGTCTTTTCTGATCACACCGCAAAAAATGACGCTCACAATATTTTTGTCTTGTAAGGCAAATAAAGATTCTTAAATCAAGTTACATTTATAAGAGAAGCAAAATGATATAAGATGTCTTGCTTTCAGTTAAACTGATTCAAATGAGTTTATGATTAAAACAAGAACAGATATCTGCCAACGAGCTCAGAAAAAATGCCAACATTTAATGCCATAACTTTAGCAATTTAAGACTGTTTTCCTCTGATTTAAGGCCTTAATTATTTTGGGGAAGGATGAAATAAGATGTTTTAAGACCTTTTTAAGACCTGCAGAAACCCTGAGATTGTACTGTTATTAATATTATATTGTTATTGACTTATAGTAAATGAGATCTATTGGTCGTGAATTTGAAATCTGATTTGTCAAGTGGTTTGAAAGGTTGAGGCCAGTTTAATATCACTGCCAGCACTGCACTTTTTACTCAAACATTGATGAATAGGGTGCACAGTGCCACAAAAGTGTTTATTTTGTGTCTACAACAAAAGCGGAACTAAAGAAATGATTGAGGAAAACCAAGCTTACACCCAGTCAACTCTCCCTTTAGAGACTTTGTTGTATTATTTTCATGTTGAAAATGCTTTGATACAATATGTATGGTAAAAAGCGCTATCTAAAAAAGGTGACTTGACTAGAAAACAAACCTTTCATTGACAGCGACAAGACTTTTTTCTCTTCACACTTCATATCCTGCAGTCCATCATGTGAGACATGCAACATTTTGGCAACTGAGACAGAAAAAAGAATGAATGAACAATGAGCCACAGCAAGAGCAGAGTTCATCTTTCAGAAAAGATTTAGAAAATCATTTGGTAGAAAGCTTAAGCACATCTGGCATGTTTTGTGTGTGTGTATGTGTGTGTTCACATTATTCCCATTTTGCTTGCCATGATATATTTAAAAGGTCTTGAAGTCTGAAGGTTTGATTTCTCTGATCTTGTTTTAAAATGTATGAATAATAATAGGGTGATCAATCTTCAGAGATCATGTCTCACACGTCAGACAAGCAAATTTGATCAATAATCGCCTTGAAAAGAATCACGATGTTGGATCGTCTCTTCGAGCCCCGGCCCCAACATCCACCCTAAACACGCACCATGTTGAGCTTGGCTGCACTTCATCTAATGATATCCTGCGATTCAGTGAGTTTAATTTAAAGCTGAAACGTTAACGTTTTACTTTGGTTAGTTAGAGCTTAAACTAATATAAAACATTACTGTAGCTTTGCTGTTATGTTAGTGTTGCTAAAAATCTCCACAATGTTCTTATAGAATTTGTGTTTGCAATAAATTTCATTTTGAGAGGACTGAGGAGAACAGTTGAATACAACTGAAAAACAGGACCCAAATTCATGGGGAAGGTGGACATTCTGGTAGTGATTGTAAAAAAGATAAATTCATGATGATTTCTAATTTTCTTAATTATAACGTGTAGTGCTGTTTTCAAACTTGCATTCAAGCTATGTTGTATATTAAAATCAGGGATTAAAAACGAATTGGTTTGTTCTGAGCGAGCAAAAAACGGTAAGGTTATTTTTTTCTTTCTGGTAAGAGAGTCTCTTAAAGCCACTTATCACAAATAAATGACTGCTTTAATCATTTAGAAATAGAAGTAATTAAAATGATATTTGTGAGTTTAAAAGTTTATAAGTGTATGAATTCATGAGTTCATAGGAGTATGAGTTTAAAACGAAATTGTATATATTAAATCATTTTAATTTCAATGGACGTTTGTGATTTGTTTATTTTGTGGGCCTACACTATACTAATATTCAGAAACAGGCACAGTTACTGCTACCATTTTATGAAAATGTTATTATTATTTAAATGGTATTATTATTCTGTGATCTTCGTCAGATATTGGCTGAGATTACAATGGACTCGAAGAAGAAGATCAAGAAAAACATATTTTATTAGGAAAGTAAGTAAAAATGATGTTTAATAGGGAAGTCATTTATGTCGCACACATAAATGCACGTTGTCTTTAGAGCCATCAGCACTGAACAACAGGCAAATAAAATACAGATTAGGCTCATTAAAGTTACAAAAGTTATTCTGTCAAATTCTTTTGTTCTTTGATTAACATTAATGGTTAAGGGTACAATATGTAAGATTTTTAGGATTAAAATATCCAAAATCACTAGAACAATGCTATATATTTAGTTGACTTGTAGACTTGCACTATCCCAAACGTTTCCAGCAATGTTTAAATCAGCAATTTAAACCAGGACGTGGATCATATCTTTGTGTCGACCGTCAATGACATCATACCCGTTTAACCCTCGATTTCGTAGAAACCATGGAAACACCAAAGACGCTTTAATTTATTATGCGTTTTATTAGACAGGTGAGCAACATTTATCGACCTAAAACTAAAAAAAAAACTTAAAAAAAAACAAAACTAAAAAAACCTAAAACTGTTTTTCTTGGAAAACAGTCACGAAAAGTCAAATCACGAATGACGTGCTGAGTGAGCTGAACTGTATGAAGTTCAGCGAACTTCTGAACTGTATGAACGGCGATCGGGGATCGACTTATCGAGACTATTTCCTAAGATGGCTCCTGTCTGTATACGTGAAGTGAACTGTCTTCATAAATTATCTTCTTATTAAACTGTCTGTACACTTACAAAGTTCTCAATGCTTCGTTTTGCATGTATGGACCCTCATTATGTTTCTGTGTTAGTGTGGGGCTATTTTGAGCCTTGTTAGTGGTATAAACTAGTGATTTCTTTTTACTTAGTCAATGCCCCCATTACTAGCATTATAGACTAAACAGTTTTTAGAGATAAAACTCTTTACATTCGATTATCATGAAAACAAATCTCAGAGAACGATTGACTAGGTACCAATGTGTAATTAGACCAAAGGTTCATTTTGCACCTGAGTTCTCTTTTAAAGTTACTTAAGATTTTACAGTAAAAAGACTGTAAAATCTGAAGGGGGTCTTTAATAAATTAATTAATTAATTAAATTCCTAAATTGCCTTTTACTTGCTAAAAAAGTATGAACTATCAATAAGGGAACAGATGCATGTAGTAGATCACACGCAACAGGTTTTCTTTAACAAAGTTGATCATATTAATATATTAGATTAAAATCATGCATCCAAAATGAAAGAGTAGTTTTATAGTGTTAAATGTTTCTGTGACCTCTGACCTCTATGTGTCTCTCTCAGTGATGACATCATGACAGTTGCCCATTCCTGGGCCTCCTGTTCGCTGCGGAAGGTAAACGTGAGGCAGTCGTGGGGCGGCTTGGTGAGACGCAGTTCGTGACATCGAGTCGACGTGATCTCGTACTTCACTGAGCGTAGATCAAACTCTGCTAGAGACTGAGACAGAGAGAGAGAACAGCTCATCAGAAACCCTTTAGTGACAGAGACCGGTAACAGCATGTATGTTATGATTCATGTATAACAGATGCTCCTTTAGTGATGCAAGACGATCCAGCCTTTAATTTCTGAGGAGTAATCAGTCTCACAGAATCGGCAGTTTGGCGAAACGGAATAAGTTTTTAGTTAAATGTTTTAGTGTTAAAATCGTATGTAGATGCAAACGAAGAGCACTTTATGCAGGGAAAAATATAATTATTCTTTCAACATTATTTTTGGAAACCAATTTCTAACATGCATTATTGAAACACTTAGGGTTAACAACACGACATTTATGTACTACAAACGAAAACGTTTTTTCTTTGAAGAGACGTCAAAATGATCCTTGTTCAGACGTATCTGTGAAAACTACTAAAAACACTGTATTACTCATTTTTAACACTGTTTTCACAGATTCATACCTGGAGATTATAAGGCTATTGTTTTCAAAGACTTGCCGTTTAAATACAATCCTAAATTCAATCTGTTCATCAATTCTTTCATCGAAAATTTAGACTAAACTAGTTCAAAGATCTCTTTATGAACGTTTGTGGAATGTGGTAGTTGCGTAGCTGTCAATGGAGGGACAGAAAACTCTCAGACTTTATGAACGAAAAGGAGGTTTGAAACGACATGAGGGTGAATAATTAATGACAGATTTTTTTTCTCTGGATCTTTAGAAGAGCATACATTTTATTTACAGTCTGTGTGGTTGAATCATTTTGACTGTTAAGCGTATAGGCTATTAGCAAGTAAGTTTGTAGTGTATAGGCTACTTTTATGCAGAACATAACATTGCTCATGATTTTTTTATGATAAATTATTGAATATCAAATAAACGCGGCATGTATTCAAAGGACTAGTAACACGAGGGTAAATAATGTTCAAACAAGATTGAATGACAGACTTGACAGCTGACTGGTTGAGAAGACAACACTAATCAGATGGTATTAAGTGAGGATAGCAAATGACAGCTCTGTCTCTCTCTCTGTGTGTGTGTGAGTGAGTGAGTGAGTGTGTGTGCATACCACGCTGCGTCCTCCGCGGTCGGTGTGTCTGAGCGTGAGCGTGAAGAGTCCCGCGCGGTTCGCGTTCATGCTGAGCTGCAGCCGCAGTGAATCCGAGCCCACACTGAGTGGCCGAACCGACACCCGCACCGACATCAACACGGTGCTACTGCAGCCCGAGTTAACGGCCATCGTGTCTAAGGCAGGGGTGTCTATACAGCTGACACTGACAACATCATCATCTTCTTCTTCTTCATCACTATCTTCATCATCACCATCTTCATGAGCAACAAGCAACCAGTTTCAAAACAGGAAGCAGGTCCGTCTGATATTTACTGCCCCCTTTTTATCACTTAAACATTCAGTTCCTAGAGTGGATGTACAGCAAGCGGTGGTACCGATCAATAATGTACACCTAAAAAACTTTATTAATCATTTAATTAATAAAATTGTTTCTTTTATGTATTTTTATGTAATTAATTGGATCAATCTATACACTTTCATTCGTAGGATTTACATAACTTGACAACATGTATATTACATAATTGACGTTTAATTGTATATATTTTAAATCTATGTTGTTGTTTTTTTAGTATTTGTGTAGTTTTAGTTTGAACCGTTTGAGCTGTCTTTTATTTTGCCACCGATGACATCATTAGGTCTGCGCCACGACGGTTGCTGTTTTTTTGACTAAAGAAAGGTTTGTGTCTTAAACTCCCTTAAGCGTTGAAGGTGTTTTAAAGTTGTTTTTATCAAATGCGTTCCAACAGCATGTTAATATTACTGAAGGCATTTTGTCTTGGAAATTTTGAGCCTGTAATTGTAGCCATAGATTAGATGATGAGGCTCGTAAATAACGCCAAAATGTATGACTTATTTTTCTATAGGCTACAAAGCGCATGCAGCCATCCACACTTGAGGAACATAGTGTTTAATGTGTCCAATTTTTCTATTCTGTTCCCACTTAAACGTGACAAAGAAAAGTTTCCAGGCACGCAGGATCCCCAGATTAAACAGCTGAGATCTTGCTTGACACACTGCTGGAGAGATGGAGTTGATTAAAGTGGAGGTTGTGGATAATGATCCTGAACCCTGCAGAGTGAAAGATGAAGATGATACTGAGGAACAAAGAGGTTGGTGTCCATTCTTGATTCCTGATTAAGGACTGTTGAGGAACATTAAAGTGCATTTATGCATTTTGGAGATTGGCATTCAAAAGTAATTAAAAGTAATAGCCTAAAGCTAGACAATTCATCAGAATTGAATTTTATATAAAAGTGGTAAAATAAAACATTCTGACATAGTATAGTAACACTGCATAGGCCTATCATTCAAACATTAGTAAAAGGCTAATCTTGCAGATTTCATCTTGTTAACATGAGGATGTCAAAATTAACTTTTAGCACAATAAAATTATCCCATAATTTACTAACCGTCTAGCCATCTATAGATTGCCAAAGCTGACTAGATTAAAAATAAATAAATAAATACATAAATAAATATACGAAGAAATGTAAAAAAGCAAAAATACATAAATAAATATACAAAGAAATGTAAAAAAGTGCAAATAAATGAGTATTTATACTTTTATTTCCATATTTATGTATAATTGTATTTTTCCACACATTTATTTATTTATTTATACGTTTATTCATTTATTTATTTCAACTTTTATTTATTTCCACATTTATGTCAGTATTTATGTTTTTATGTCTACATTTCTTTATTTTCACATTTATTTATTTCTATATTTATTTATTTCCACATTTCATCATTTCCACATTTATTTATGGGCTCTATGCACGGCGTTATTTCCGGTGAAGGATTAAGGATGCTCGATAACTTCCGCCGATCATAGAGTCCAATGCAATACCGAGAATTAATATTGAATTTTATACTCCATGGTTATACTAATGAAACGTTAGTCACAAAAACAGATAAAACAGACACCCCTCGTTGTGTTTATGCTTCTTTTTAAAATTATATTAAATAAACATAACTATATATAAAATTACATCTAAACGTATGTACGTTTCGTTTCAAAGACGGGAGAACAGTAAATATTGAAGACTCTGCCATAATCCCGTTTTCTCCGGTTTTCCTCCGCTTTAATCTCCACAACCGGAAATGGACGAGCATCCTTACGTCAAATGCGGAACTTATGCGTGCATATAGCCCATTCCAACATTTCTTTCTCCGTATGTTAATGAGGGGGGCGTGTTTTAATTCAGACTTTAGCAATCGAGCTCAGAGTGGCAGTTCTGAAGTTTTGAGGCCACAGTGACACCTTGTGGTGCATGACCAAACGAACCGCAAGAGCTGTGCAGGCAATATCACATTTTAAGTCATGTATTTCACTGTATGTAGGGAAGGCTATATAGGGTTAACAGATACTTGGACATGAAAGCGCATGAAACTATCCACTATTAATAACAATGTAGGCCTGATGAGACTCGCACACAGCGCACAGTTCACTGACTCCCACGCAAGCATATTGATCAATGAATTTGAAACACGATTCAATACGCGGTTTCCATCCACGTTTCCTAATTTCGTATGCATAACAGATGACAATTCAAGTGTTTAAAACAAAACTCATCGATGCTGCTCAGATACTGATTAATCACAAGACAAGACATAGCCTACATTTTGAATTATTCTAAAATCAGACGCAGCCAGCCATGCCATCTGTATTAAGATTTTGACTTTTAATGACTTTTGTTAATTTGATTTTACTGATAACAGCCATAGTGCCTTATTATTATTATTATAACTGAGTAGTTTATCGATTAATATTAAGAACTTGGCATGATGATGTACAGCCTAGCCTACCTATTTAATAAGGTTTGGGTTGATATAAAATCAATTTACAGGGGGAAATATCACCACGACCACGGGCACGACCGGTGCTGTTTGAATGGGCAGGATGCTTCTGTGCTCCAATGCATGGCGTGAGATGCGTGGCTCACTGCGTTTAAATGAGCCACTTTTGTTTGATTTAAGAATAATTCAAAATTGATGACTTGTGATTAATCAATATCTAAGAGCAGCATATGGGTTGTGTTTTAAGCATTTGAATTGTCGCCTGTTAATGCATACGAAGTTAGGAAACGCGAATGTAACTGCGGACGTTTCAAACTCAATGATCAATATGCTTGCATGGGAGTCAGTGAAATGTGCGCTGGTTTCTCTCCGTGTTCTGCGCTGGTGTGCGAGTCTCATCGTCAATAATCACAAGCCAAAAGCAATCTGTCAGCTATCATATTCATGTGTTAACCCTATATAGCCTACCCTACATACAGTTAGGGGTGTCACAGCAAGGTGTCACTGTGGCCTTAAAGCTTCAGCACTGCCACTCTGCGATCGATTGCTCATGTCTGAGTTAAAACACGCCCCCCTCATTAGTATATGGACAAAGAAATGTTGGAATAAATAAATGTGGAAATAAATAAATGTGAAAATAAATAAATGTAGACATAAAAACATAAATGCATAAATGAATGTAGAAATACATAAAAGTGGAAATAAATAAATGTAGAAATAAATAAATGTGTGAAAAATACAATTACACATAAATAAGGAAATAAAAGTATAAATACTCATTTATTTGTACTTTTTTACATTTCTTTATATTTATTTATGTATTTATTTATGTATTTTTGCTTTTTTACATTTCTTCGTATATTTATTTATGCCTTTATTTATTTTTAATTAATTCAGCTTTGGCATTCCATAGCCATCCTAGGTGGAAGTTACTTTTTTCATTTCAGCCAAACAATTTGGTCTTATAAATCTGCATACTGTTCGGTACCACATTTCCAAGTAAATAGAATACTTTTTTATGTTTACTTAAGCTTACTTATTGATACTGTTATATTTCAGATATAAAAAATATCCTGGCCCTTCCAAGCTTTAGCTATAACAGGAGTGAATGGTAACTTGGATTTTAAAGCCCAAAAGAGTGGATTCATCATCCAGCATTAAAGTAATCCATATGACTGCGGTGGGTTAATAATGGCCTTCTGAAGTCATGCGTTTTTGTAAGAAAAATATCCATATGTGACCCATGCTGGCAAAAGGAGTCGGAATGAGCAAATTTTCAAAAACGATTTATGGTTATTTTCACATTCTCTATTAAAAATATATATGTACATTTAACTTTTCTGGCCTCTTATTGCTACCTGTCCCAACTTTTTTGGAATTTGTAGCTCTCATGAAATCCAAAAGGTGCCAATATTTGGCATGGCAATTAAAAATGTCTCACTTTCAACATTTGATATGTCATCTATGTTGTATTCAAAATATAATATTGAAATTTCAAACTTCCACATCATTGCATTCTGTTTTTATTCACAATTTGTACAGTGTCCCAACTTTTATGGAATTGGGTTTGTAGATTTTCTCCGTGAACCTGACTACTCTACAATAATACTCACTCTAGTTGGCCAATTCTTATACTTTTACCTCAGCGCGTCAACAGTCGACGTCCTGCTGAGCTATAAACCTACCCTATACCCTAGCGCGTCTACAGTCGACGACCTGCTAGGTACTAATCCTATAACCCTAGCGCGTCTACAGTCGACGTCCTGCTAGGTACTAATCCTATAACCCTGGCGCGTCTACAGTCGACGTCCTGCTGGGTACTCAAGTTTAGGAATTCCTATTCCTAAACTTGAGCAACTTGTCTTCTCAGTCCCCAGACGTTTGCAGACTGTTATTAAAAGAAGAGGGGATGCCACACAGTAGTAAAAATGGCCTTGTCCCAACTTTTTTGAGATGTGTTGATGCCATGAAATTTAAAATCAACTTATTTTTCCCTTAAAATTATGCATTTTCTCAGTTTAAACATTTGATATGTCATCTATGTTGTATTCTAAATATAATATTGAAATTTGAAACTTCCACATCATTGCATTCTGTTTATATTCACAATTTGTACAGTGTCCCAACTTTTATGGAATTGGGTTTGTATTACATCAGTCATTGCGAGTAAGATCCTTTTATTTACATCAACATGAGTTTGAAAATCACATTTCATTGGTTTAGACCAGGGCTATTCAATTAGCTTCATTCGAGGGCCTGATCATTAAATCGAAAAGTTAAGGTGGGCCAGTGGGTTTAGCTTATTTATTGAAACATAACAGTATCAATAAGTAAGCTAAAGTAAACATAAAAAAAGTATTGTATTTACTTGGAAATGTGGTACCCAACAGTGTGCAGATTTATAAGACCATAATAAATAACTTATTCACATGTACAAATATATGAATTGTACATGTACAATTGTGCTATGTACAAATATATGAATTATACAAGATCATAGCTATTGGTAAGAATTATTTTATAAATTCACAGTGCGTATAGCCGTCCAGCTACGGGCGCCACTGCGGCACACTCTAATATCTAACCAAATTTTGCTGCACTACTAGAAAAGAGGAGGAGGGAGGTTGGGGTGCCCTCAGGCTGGATGGAGATGATTGGCGGGCCGCCAATTGAATAGCTCTTTTTTAGACTCATTCAATTGAGAATTCGCAATGAACATTAACTAAGTTGGAATACAGCGCTTTACAACGATACCAAACTTGTGCTGAAAGGAAGAGCGAGAAGTGCTTTTTCCATGGACAAAAGAAAGGTACTCCTCTTAGAAAACGCACAAATAAAGATAGTAATAGATGTTTAATTGTTATTTGGATCATTGGGATCGTTAGAAGATCTTTCACTTGTAGCTCAAAATTATCCTGTGCGCAACATGACATCATGACTTTTGTGTAAACATACACGCCACTTTTAAATCGTGGCGTGTTATCTACTCATTTTGAGCTATCCGCATGTATCTGCGTATGCGTGTATGTCTACGCCATTAATGTCCGAGTGATTCCGCGTGTCTGTACATGCCGTCAAATGTCCGAACGAAATGAAGCAAAATGTAGATCTACATCTGGGGAGCTATCTTTTTTTTCCCCTAGGATGGTAAGGGAACAGTCATCAATGCCAATCACGCTGAAAAGCAATTATGCGCGTTGATAGCACGTCAAAAATGGAAATACGAATTGCCGTGTCATACACGCGCTACTTCATGAGATCAGTCTGCTGTGCGCATTCCAACTCAATTTGTCAGCACGGGTCACTTATTTATAACTATAAACTATAATCACTGGCTTCCAGTAACAGCCACATGCAAGTCTAGTTCTGGCCGAAGAGTGACTCGACTCATGACGCATTGATGTATGTGGAAGGGCAGGAATGTGGATTTGTTGCCCAGCCCTGTTTTTTTGAACTGCGAGAGGTATAAAAACTTACGACACTACTACATCCGGTCAGAGGGCAATCTTTCGCTGGAAGAAGACTCATGTGTGGCCGCTTCCGGAAGCCAGTGATTATAGTTAATCAAGTTATAAATATGGATATTTTTCTTTCAAAAACGCTTCGCTTCAGAAGGCCTCAATTAAGCTCCTGGAGCCATGTGTATTACTTTTTTGATGGATGGATGCAGTTTTTTGGGCTTCAAAATCTCAGTTTCCATTCACTGCCATTATAAAGCTTGGAAGAGCCAGGACATTTATTAATATAACGACTGTGTTTGGCAGGAAGAATAAAGTCATATACACTTAGGAAGGCTTGGGGATGAGTAGCCTTAAATTATGCATGAACTATCCCTTTAAGCTTCTTGTATCAACTTCCTTGAACTGATTTTTTGATCATGTAATATGTTCATTTTAGGCCAGATGGAAGTGAAAGAGGAAAATCAAGAACCGGTTGATGTCAAGGAGAACCGCTATTTTGAGAAACCTGAAGATTATATGGTTGGAGAAAAATCTTTGAGTTCCTCGCTATCTGAAAATAATTTTTCACAAACAGCACAAGCCAAAAATTTTTTCTCTTGCCCTCAATGTGAGAAGACGTTCACACATAAAGGAAACCTTAGGGATCACATAAAAAATCACATTGGAGAAAAGCCTTACGCATGCCATCTGTGTGGGAAGAGTTTTATTCACAAAGGACACCTTAATGATCACATAAGAATTCATACTGGAGAGAAGCCTTACGTATGCTGTCTGTGTGGAAAGAGCTTCACATGTAAAGGAAGCCTTAATGGTCACATGAGAATTCACACTGGAGAGCGGCCTTTCACGTGCCACCTGTGTGGAAAGAGTTTTACGTGTAAAGGTACTCTTACATGTCATGTAAGAGTTCACACTGGAGAGAAGCCATTCACATGTCCTCAGTGTGATAGGAGTTTCTCACATAAAGGAAGCCTCAAGTGTCACATGAGAATTCACATCGAAGAGGGACCTTTCACATGCCAACAGTGTGGAAAGAGTTTCACACAGAAAGAATACCTTAAAAATCATATACGAATTCACACTGCAGGAAAGCCTTTCACATGCCATCTGTGTGGAAAAGGTTTAACATGTAAAGGAAGCCTGAAGTGTCACATGAGAATTCACACTGGCGAGAAGCCTTTCACGTGCCTTCAGTGTGGAAAGTGTTTCACCAATAAAGGAAACCTAAAGATTCATGCAAGAATTCACACTGAAGAGAGCCCTTTAACTTGCCTTCAGTGTGGAAAGTGTTTCACACATAAAGAAAGCCTTAAGTGTCACATGAGAGTTCACTCTGGAGAGAGGCCTTTCAAGTGCCATCAGTGTGGGAAGAGTTTCGCTCGTAAAGTAATCCTTCAGAATCACATAAAAACACACTCTGGAGAAAAGCCTTACACATGCCATCAGTGTGGAAAGAGTTTCACCGATAAAGGATACATAAAGCGTCACATGAGAAGTCACACCGGAGAGAAGCCTTTCATATGTCCTCAGTGTGGAAAGAGTTTTACACACAAAGGAAACCTTAAAATTCACATAAGAGTTCACACCGGAGAGAAGCCTTCCAAGTGTCCTCAGTGTGGAAAGAGTTTCACACATAAAGGACAGCTTAAAGATCACTTGAGAATTCACACCGGAGAGAAGCCTTACACGTGCCCTCAGTGTGGAAAGAGTTTCAAATGTAAAGGACACCTTAAGACGCACATAAGAACTCACACCGGAGAGAAGCCCTTCACATGCCATGAGTGTGGGAAGAGCTTCACAGTTCAAAGAAGCCTACACATGCACATGAAATATCATTCTGGAGAGAAATTACATGAGTGTTCTGAGTGTGGCAAGAGGTTTGCAGAGAGCAACACTTTCAAAACACATTTGCTCATTCACTCTGAAGAAAGACCATTTAGTTGCGATCAGTGTGGCAAAAAGTTTATTTTAGCAGCGCGCTTAAAGGCACATATGAAGCTTCATACAGATGAGAGACCCTATTTATGTTCTTTGTGTGGTGAGAGTTTTAAACTGCTCGGCAGTTTAAAATCGCACCAAAAAATACATGCCAGTGAGAAATCTCATGTGTGCCCTGAGTGCGGTAAAGCTTTTACCAGAGCAAGCTACTTGAAGCGGCACCAACGGACCCACGCTGGAGAAAACCCAGACAAAAACATTGTCCAGAGTAGTCAAAGAGAGCAAAATTTGTCTTCGGTAATTAGTAAATAGTGTCAGTGTGATATTCATATAGAGCAGAAAGTAGAATTTCTTCAAAAGGGGGATTTTATCTAAGAGGGCTAAATGACCTAATGGCGATGTCTGTGCTATTCCAACAAAAAAAAGTGTAGGAAAATCCTACTGGGCCTCATGTAGACGCATGCATTTTCTGTAAATCTGCTTTGAAACTATATGTATTGTGAAAAGCGCTATACGAATAATTGTAAATTGATTTTATCCATCTTAATGTAGAAACGAGCGCAGATCCAAGCACAGAAATCATCTTACGACAGGGTTTACGTGTGATTCATGAAAAAAGTTCCATCATACATTGATGAATGTGGCAGCTGAAAACAATCGTCATTTGAGAATCACATCCTTAAAAATTCATGGTTTAGAAGCCTTGACCCTAGAGGTTACGACATGGAGAAATTGGAGGCTGAAAAACAATTGGAGCCCGATCCAGACCTTGACAATGTACAAGAGGATTGTGCTGAATGGATTTCATGCATAGACTTTGCGAGCATAGATTTTACAGGGCGTTTCAGAGTGGTATGCTTTTAGTAATTTTCGTATACATTATAGATACGATGTTATTATATTATGATACATGAAAACTAAGGTAATATAAACAGTAATCAATCACAAAACCATGGTTAATTTTCCTAAGGAGCATCTTACAAAAGCAACAGAAAACAAGCTTGTACTTCTATAAAATGTGCAGCGCACAGATACACATTTGGGGTTATAAGGTTCTGGAACAGTTAAAAATATGTTTTAACTACTTGTAAGTTCAGCCTTAGGAAGGTCAAACAAATGAGTTTTGGAAACGTGGAAAAAAAACAGCGTCTTTTTGACATAGCGACAACACTGTCTTTAATGCAGCTCATCCAGGCCTCGTCCCATTTTCTGCGTATTCAGTGAGTGTGGATTATTCCAATGAGTACCATTGACTTCATAAGTTCTGAAAAAAATCAAGTTGTAGTTAGTGCTGTGTGGTTTGACCAAAAATTTATATCACGTTTTTTTTTATTTTTTTTTTATGTTTTTTTCCAGAATTAAGCTGGTTTTCTGGTTTATGAGTTGTTTTTTTCATGCATAATCAGGTGTTCAAAGCATTTTCTAGTAAGAGAGGAATTACTGCAATAAATTAACATAGGATGGTCTATTTTATTGTCATTAGTTAATATTGTAGAATAGAATAGTGCCCAGTATAACCTAAAATTGTTATTTCTTAACATTCTAATAACATTCTTATAACCAAGCAAGAACGTTAATACAACGTCTAAAAAAAACTGGACATTTTAAATGTTCTGTCATGATCCTGGTTCTTCTCTCTTTCTCTGTCTCCCTCTTGTGGCCGTTTGTTCACTCTCTCTCTCTTTCTCGCATTACGCCCTCAGGATCTCATTATCTCATCTCTCTCAGCTGATGCTACTCTTCCTATTATTTGTGCTGGTCTGCACCAGCTGTTTCCATTCTTCCCCTGATTGTTTCTCCTTCTTCTAGCGCTTTCTGTCCCTAGATCCTTGTCGGATTATTCTATGTTGTGGCTTAATACTGACGCCGGAATTATCTCTCTCTACTTCGTCTTGTCCTGGTGTGAGCTGTAATTCCTACCTGCATATATTACTGTGTGGTTTTGCTCTCTGACTTCTGTTCAGCACTGGAAGCTGTGGTCCTCTGCCTCGCCACCAACCTACTGCTGACCTCACCTCATTCACGGGAGGTTCGGGGTTTCTCTGCCTAGCGAGTCGCCGTCCGTGGCTGCATTCGGGGCTCACCAGAAGAGGGGATTTCTGTTCTCGTTTAGTGCCGTGTGGCCGTGACTGTTTTCTGCTATTATTCCCCTGAACTTCTAATGATTACTGTTGGACTGCTTACTATCCATTAAAGACTATCAGTTGCCGCATCCTCGCTGTTGGGTCCTCTTTCCATCCAAACGTTACAGAATAATCCGACTACGATGGACTCAGCGAGTAGCAGTCCCCTTCATGCGGCTGTCGAGATTCAGGGTGTTTTACTGGGCCGACATGATGAGGACATCTCGTCGGCAAGACAGGCTGTAGAATCTCTGGCTGCTCAGATGACGGGTCTCTCTCAGCGGGTTCACCAGTTACGTTCAGAGCCACCTTCTTTTTCTGAGACCCGCGGAGTGCCCGAACCCCGGATAAATAACCCGCCCGTGTACTCGGGTGAGCCCACGCAATGCCGCTCCTTTCTGACACAGTGCGAGGTGGTCTTTTCTCTCCAGCCCCCTACGTATTCTACTGACCGGTCTAGGGTCGCTTTTGTCATCTCACTCCTCACTGGCCGGGCACGGGAGTGGGGCGCGGCGAACTGGGAGGCCGAGACCAACTGTGTGTTTGACTTCTCTCTTTTCAAGGAGGAGATGATAAGAGTTTTTGATCGCTCAGCCTATGGTGAGGAGGCTTCGCGCTTGCTCTCTGTACTCCGTCAGGGGAGGCGTTCGGTGACTGACTTCTCCATCCAGTTCCGCACGCTCTCGACGACCTGTGGGTGGAACAATACGGCTTTGGTGGCCCGTTTTCTGGAGGCGCTTAACTCGGAGCTCAAGGACGAGATTCTGGCACGCGAAGCACCCACCCAACTCGACGCTCTCATCGATCTGGCGATTCGGGTGGAGAGACGCTTTGACTCACGCCGTCGAGCCCGCGGAATGGAAGCCGCCCTCTTCGCTCCGCCTGAGGGTACTCCTTTTCAGCCTGCCACTCCGAATCCTGAGCCGATGCAACTCGGAGGTCTTCGTATCTCCCGCAAGGAACGTGAGCGACGTATCATGAATTGTCTGTGCATGTACTGTGCTGCCGCTGGACACTTTGTCTCAGACTGTCCAGTAAAAGCCAGAGCTCGTCAGTAGGCGGAGGGTTACTGGCGAGCGCTGTTTCTAGGATCCCTCCATCCAAGTCCTGCAACACTATGCCTGTCCTCCTTCGATGGTCTACAACCTCAGTGTCCGGGACCGCCCTGGTCGACTCCGGTGCTGAGGGAAATTTCGTCGACGAGACGTGGGCTCTTGAACAAGGTATTCCCCTCATTGACTTAAAGAGCTCCACCCCCCTGTTCGCCCTAGATGGCAGTTCCCTTCCTAGGGTGCGGAGAGAGACTGTTCCCCTTACTCTCTCCGTCTCAGGGAACCATAATGAGACTATTTCTTTTTTAGTTTTTCACTCTCCCTTTACACCGGTAGTTTTGGGCCACCCTTGGCTCGTTCAACATAATCCCCATGTTGACTGGTCTAACGGCTGTATTTTATCCTGGAAACTGTCGTGTCATGTTAAGTGTTTGACTTCTGCTGTTCCCCCCGTGTCATCTGTTTCTGTTTTCCAGGAAGAGCCGGGTGATTTGACAGGAGTACCGGAGGAGTATCACGATCTGCGGGAGGTTTTCAGCCGTGCTCGGGCCACTTCTCTCCCCCCTCATCGCCAGTACGACTGTAGCATAGATCTTCTCCCGGGGACCTCTCCTCCTCGGGGAAGACTATATTCGTTGTCAGCTCCAGAACGTAAGGCGCTCGAGAATTACCTGTCAGAATCTCTAAATGCTGGTCTGATCGTTCCATCGTCGTCTCCTGCAGGTGCCGGCTTCTTCTTTGTCAAGGAGAGGGATGGCTCTTTGCGCCCTTGTATAGATTATCGAGGGCTGAACGAGATCACTGTCAAGAATCGTTACCCCTTGCCACTGATGTCTTCGGCTTTTGACGTCTTACAGGGAGCAAAGATTTTCTCTAAGCTCGATCTCCGTAACGCTTATCATTTAGTTCGTATAAGGGAGGGAGACGAGTGGAAGACTGCGTTTAACACACCCCTGGGGCACTTTGAATATAGGGTTCTTCCTTTCGGTTTGGTCAACGCTCCCGCAGTTTTTCAGGCTCTCATTAATGACGTCCTCCGCGATATGCTCAACATTTTTGTCTTTGTCTACTTGGACGACATTCTGATTTTCTCTCTGTCCCTTCAGGTCCATATTCAGCACGTCCGCCGAGTCCTCCAACGGCTTCTAGAGAATCGACTATTTGTCAAGGCTGAGAAGTGCACCTTTCACGTGTCTTCGATTTCGTTTTTAGGCTCTATTGTCTCCGCAGAGGGGGTCAGTATGGATCCAGGCAAGGTGTCGGCGGTTACCGATTGGCCCATACCCGACTCCCGCGTCGCGTTACAGCGCTTTCTCGGATTTGCGAATTTTTATCGTCGTTTCATCCGAAATTTCAGCCAGGTAGCCGCGCCCCTTACAGCTCTGACGTCCGTCAAGTCCAGCTTTAGGTGGTCAGATGCCGCACAAACGGCATTTGATCGGCTAAAGACCCTTTTTACTACGGCTCCGGTCCTACTCACTCCCGATGTCTCGAGACAATTTATAGTGGAGGTGGACGCTTCAGAGGTGGGGGTCGGGGCTGTGCTCTCCCAACGGTCCGCCGCTGACGGTAAAGTACATCCCTGTGCTTTTTTCTCTCACCGCCTCTCACCTGCTGAACGTAACTACGATGTCGGTAATCGGGAGTTACTCGCCATTCGCCTAGCTTTAGGGGAGTGGCGACAATGGTTAGAGGGGTCCACTGTTCCGTTTCTAGTGTGGACTGACCACCGTAACCTGGAATACATCCGTTCTGCTAAGCGTTTGAACGCACGCCAAGCTCGCTGGGCTCTGTTTTTTACTCGCTTTGATTTCTCGATATCCTACCGCCCAGGTTCCAAGAACGTTAAGCCCGATGCTCTCTCCCGTCTCTTTGATTCGTCTTCTGCGCCAGTCAATGATGAGGCGGTTATTCCCCCAGGGCGCTTCGTGGGGGCTATTGTTTGGGGAATCGAGAGACTGGTCAGAAGGGCTCTCTCTCGAGTCACTGCCCCTCCTGAGTGTCCTAGGGATCTTCTTTTTGTTCCCGCGTCAGCGCGTCAAGCGGCCCTTAGATGGGGACATTCTTCCAGATTAGCCGCTCATCCGGGAGTTCGGGGTTCGCTCGCCTCTATCCGTCAGCGTTTTTGGTGGCCCACGTTAGAACATGACACGCGTCGTTTTGTTGCCTCTTGTGTCGTATGCGCTCAGACCAAGTCGGGTCATTCTCCCCCAGCCGGTCTCCTTCCCTTGCCTGTGCCTGCTCGTCCGTGGTCGCATATAGCGCTTGATTTTATTACCGGACTCCCCTCCTCAGCTGGGAGTACAGTCATCCTGACTGTAGTCGATCGTTTTTCTAAGTCGGCTCACTTTATTTCGCTCCCTAAACTTCCCTCTGCTAAGGAGACTGCCCAGATCATGGTAAACCATGTCTTTAAGCTGCATGGGTTACCCTCCGATGTAGTATCTGATAGAGGTCCGCAGTTCGCCTCATTGTTCTGGAAGGAATTTTGCCGCCTTATAGGGGCCACCGCCAGCCTTTCGTCGGGCTATCACCCCCAAACTAATGGGCAGGCCGAACGGGCGAATCAAAGCATTGCTCGCATTCTCCGTAGTCTGGCTTCTCGCAATCCCGCATCGTGGTCTGAACAGCTCCCTTGGGCTGAGTACGCTTATAACTCGCATCCGTCTTCCGCCACGGGCCTTTCGCCTTTCCACGGTTGCCTTGGCTACCAGCCTCCTCTGTTCTCCTCACAGGAGGCGGAGTCTAGGTGTCCGTCCGTTCAGGTTTTTATTGCTCGCTGTAGACGCACCTGGAGGAGAGTTAAATCAGCACTTTGTCGTACAAGGAGACGCATGAGAACAGCGGCCAATAAGCGTCGGGTAAAGAGCCCTCGTTACATTCGTGGTCAGAGAGTGTGGCTCTCCACGGCAAATTTGCCTCTCCAATCCGAGTCTCGTAAATTGGCACCCCGTT